CTCATATTCAAGATTATCAAATAAATACATAGGGTTACAGACTGCAGACTAAAATGTAAAGCCATTCACTTATCAAATGTGAGACTTGTACATCCTCTATATGTTTCCCCATAGAGTAATGTCACTTAAATCAATACCACCTAAGTATCTTAAAATGAGTCACTAAAATCATTACCACCTAAGTATCTTAAAATGAGTCACTAAAATCATTACCACCTAAGTATCTTATAATGAGTCAATAAAGTCAAAACCACCTAAGTATCTTATAATGAGTGACTAAAATCAAAACCACCTAAGTATCTTATAATGCATTAGTCACCAAAATCATTACCACCTAAGTATCTTATAATGAGTCACTAAAGTCAAAACCACCTAAGTATCTTATAATGAGTCACTAAAATCAAAACCACCGAAGTATCTTATAATGCATTAGTCACCAAAATCATTACAGGGTATTATGGGTATTCTGGGTATTAAATATTGGAATTTTAAGCTGTTTTATTAGACAAGATACCAGAATAAACAATCCTTATATTTGTGAATAAGTTTTATTGACAAGTTTTCTTATGGTGGACTAATTACCAGTATCCCAGTACAGTCCATGTGTTAACACAGCTTGGTTAAGTGATATTCATTTGATAGAATTTATACACATACTCACCAAGCCCAATAGAGCTAAACCAGAGCCAATGTTGAGGAAGAGCGGAATGACGCTGAATTTACCGGCCTGTCCAGTCACTATCACTTCATATAATATACCATAGGCCTTTGTCAATGTTCTATACTCGTCAGTTGCATTTATCTTATATTTGTATGCAAATCTATTGTAAAATAAAAAGTGAATAAGAATCATGCAAAATATATTTATGAGTACATCATATTCTCAGTTGAGTCAAAGCATGTATACAAGGCAGAATTTGATACGTTGAAAACAATTTTCAAATAACAAGCCGCTCTCTGATTGGTTTGAGTGTTAGGGTTGGGTAGCCAATCAGGTACTATCTTGTAAGCTTCATATTAACTCTATATTCTTCATATCTTACACAAGGAACTAACATTTAATCTAGAGGATCCAGAAAAAACCTTTGTGAGCTGAAGACACAACATAATATATTTTACTGGAAATGTCTTAAATTAAATAATAACTGTAACTAGCTAAAAGATATTGAACAGATATTGAATGCAAATAAAATAATTGAGTAAGTTAATGCAATCATTTAGTTAGTGTCCCCATGTGATTAAGGTTACTACATGTAATTGCCAAATTACACCCTAATGAATGACCCATAACACAATACTGAATTAGGAGTTGATACTTTGTGTGGATCACCCTATTGATTGTAGAATCAACTCTAAATCAAACAAATATCACACCGTGGAAGTTCATTATTGTCATTATGATATGCCTTGTGTATGTGATATTCTATCATTACATCACATGTCTTGATTTTTGCCCTAAACATAAATGCAGCCTGATGCACAGTGTGAATGCCATGGCCTTGGAACATGAATACAGGTTTGCTCTACACTGGAACACGAAGATGACACACAAATATGGACAATAGTACATATTGTAGGCCTAAAATGTTGGTTTTTCCCCCCTTTATTTTACCACTGCACAGTCATATATTTAATGTTTACCCCCCTCTCATAACAGTTATAACCGAAACAAGGTTGTTCTACTAGACTTATTGCTAGGGACACAACCACTCATGTCTTTACCTCAATGTTGGCCATAGCATGCCTGAATTAATCAGAAGCTACTTTTAACAATTAAATAAATTTAAAATGCAAAGAAATAAAAAAAAACTTTTGATCTAAACGATTATTTATCCATATGTGTAACAAATTTCAATTGAATATATGACATGACAGAGATATCGATGAAACAAACATAGAATGGACACATGCCAATCAATGCATTCTATTTCCTGCTAGGTACAACATCTGCATTTCTCAGTTACTCGTATACTTACCTAAAATTGAATCCCTGGGCAATTTTTGCTTCTGGGTTATCAAGACGACGAAAGCTATAATGTGGTTTACATTCTTCAGCAGCATGATCTAGATTACAATCCCAGTTTATAAAAATTCCCATCACACCACCCTGCAATGATAACAACGACACAGATATACAGAGTCATCTCACAAGATTTAATTTAAACTTGATTACAAAATTACTGCCAGGAAGGTAATGTATATGTACTATTGGTCTATTATAAGTTATATGTTGCATTACTACTTTGTAAATATCATGAAAGAACAATCGAGCTAAACAGTAAATGTTTTAACGATCTAAAGCATAACATGCATCAAAATGATGTCGTTTTAGCTAAAAATATGTTATATTAAAAGTACATAATATCCTGCCATCACTTTCGCTCTTATTTTATTTTCAGAGTACTGGAGGGTTTTGTTCCTTTAACAAACATATCTACAATGTAACTGACCTTCAAGGGTAATCAAAGCTTCGTAACTCAGTGTCTATTGTTTAAAAATCTAGTTTAATTTTGAGGAGCGCTTAAATTCATATATGGCAGATGATTCCTCATTGCTCTCCCATAATATTAACAGTTTATGGTGTATATATTGTCAATGGATGGTACTTCTCAGATTTGGAAAGTGGGAATGCAACTTGGCAGTACAAAGAATTACCAAAATAAGTTTTAACAAGACAAATTATCAGTGGATGTAATGTATTTAACTTAGGCTGGAAAAAATTCCCTGTCCATCATACCCACTTGTATTTTTTTTTTTTTTGGGTCAAAAAGTCACTTGATTGTTGGTGGCACTGCAAAAATGATTCTCACAAACTACTAGACCTCAAGTGGAGAGTTGACGTTCCAACCAAATTAATAATTACAATTGTCTGCTTTAATATTTGCAATTTTTTTTTCAAATTTTCTGCATTTTGTACAGTGTTTAAAGAATGTTTAAGATGAGTATACATGTTGAATTTTCTTATGTATACATATTTTTTTGTCTGGCATCAACAGCACTGTGTAGATGATATCAACTCATAATTACCTCAAACCCCATTGTTCCAAAATCCACTTCTTCACCAGCTGACACTTTGGCTTCTTTGACAATATCTCCAAGTCGAAAAATTGGACAAAACTGAAGATCTGCATCTTTTGAGTCATATCTACAATCTCTTAAAAAACTTGCATTACTACTATCTAAAATATTTCTCCTGAAATAGATGAAAAATAATCATTATAATCACATTGCACATCAATTTTAATTTCAAAGATGTTAACAAAAACATCATATGAATATTTCTTCATTTCTTTTTAACCAAAATTATATTGAAATTTTATTTTCACATTTTATATTAGTTATTGAGAAAACATTATTTGCTGTAAACTGAATGAAATTTGTATTTCTAAGAATGCAATAAACTCTTATCAGAAAACTGAAGCCCTCTGGTGGTAAAATTGGAAAAAAATGATACCGCCCTCTAGTGTTGAAATTAGACATAGACCACTTTCCCAGAAGTCAAAGATTCATCAATTTGCATGCACTCACATACCGTTTTGTGGTGTAACATAAACATGTGCATGTGATATTGTGCTGATGGATGTACCAATCGACATCACAAAAATAAAATTCCCTTTTATCGACTATCGGCAAACTGACTTGTTTGGAATTTCTGCCATGACATAGCAGGAGTATTTTTGCACCACAGTCTTGTTTTTTTCCTTAAAAGTGGTCTATTGGTGGCAGCTATCAAGCACTACATTTGTATTCCATGAAATGAACATATTAACTAAATGTCAAATTGCTTCTTTCTTTTTAATGATGAAATACTAAATACTGATTAATTTTAATTTGAAATAAGTGTAGTTTTGGTTTGAACAGTAAGCACTGAACATTTCTTCATGGCATATCTTAGATACCAAACAGAAAGACAAAAGTTTTTAGTAATATCAATATTCCAAAAGAATTAAAAAGTGATTTTTAGATATTTAAATAAATTATGAGTTCAAGAAAAAAAAATATAAATAATAAGCCAAGCTTCTGAACATTTAAACAAAATATTTCAAATTAGAAATATAAATGACTGACATTTTACTCTAGTATTATATGTATTGTATTTTATTACTAACAAATTATTGCTATAAGATTTATTATATTTTATTATCAGAAAACACTGGAAATGTTTTAATCACTTTTTAAAATTCATGTCAGAAGGTTAATAAGAACCTTGCATGCAACCTACAGTTTGTGAGTGTTGTAAACAGTAAAATACAATTAATGAAATACTATATTTTGTGAAATATATAATATGATTATGCAAATGATAAAATCTGAGGTTTTCCCCTAAGTGAGATTAAATTATAACCAAATAAACTGACAACAAAAAATAAAATAAAAAAGTACAGAACAAATTTTAAAATGATATTTTGAGCTTATTTGATTTAAAACTTGATAAAGAATATTGTAGAATAAAAGTGTTTGTTCAATGATTTAATGAAACATTCAATGAAAACATTCAATGATTTAATGAAAACATTCAATGATTTAATGAAAACATTGAGTACATACAAGCTTCAAATTACCTGCACACACATGTATTAGCATTACCTTATTAAACAAATAATGCTGAATATTTCCTAAAACAAAGTTTGTATTTCACAATATCAATATTGCAATACTCACTTTTGAAAATCAAACTTTGGGAATGATACTGAATTTTTAATTAGTACTGTAAAGTTGGCAGCTTCATAAAGTACAGGTTTGTCCTTCCTGGAAGAGAACAGTAATGGTGATTTCCGGTACTTATCATAAATGTCATATGTGTTACCATAGCAA